TCTCCCTTTACCCTCCCTGTTTTGCCACTCACACCACTGGTCCTATAGGGCCAGCACATTTTTAATGCAGTTTTTGTGGTAAAATTAGGTGCCTCGGCTGATATCCGGGTCAGCTTATTCTCGAATATATATATTACAGAGAAAGAGTGCCATTGGAGCAGGGATGCCGTAGTATTTTAATATCGTTTTGATTTGTATTTCCCTAGTGACCACCTTTTCATGTATATGTGTTCCTTTGTCTATGAGTGTTATTTGGGGGTACAGCTTGATTGGCGTGGACACGGCTCCACTGGCATCCCTGCTGTTCTCAGAGCACTTCCACACGCATGCGCCACAGTGCTCAGCGGGTGAGCTGGGGTCTGCGGCAGGACCTGGGGAAGGTGCGCACCAGCAGGACTTAAGCAGCGGGTGCCCAGGGCCCCAGGGTCTTGCCAGGACTCTTCCACATCATTTCACGGATGGCCTTGGAAGTGCAAAGAGGCTTCCAAACATTTGTGTCAAGATTCCACTCTCTTTTAATTCCATTTTTCCCACAAAAATTTTAAAGCCCCCTCGTAGGTCTTCAGTGTTCTTTTCGAGATTATGGCTTTGATAAGAGGGTAAGCACTCTCTTTCTTCTTCTTCTTCTTAATCCAGAAGAGGCACATTTAAACTGTTTGTTTGTTTGTGTAAGCTTCTCGCAAGATTCAGTAGCACTTTTGGTGTTTCGTGATCCATTCGGTGTGGAGGGAGAAAGAGGAGTCTGAGCCTCACACACTTATTCAATGTGACAGGATACAGAGTAAGTCTGTGGTTTCAGTATAAAGCAAGCAGTCCCTGTGGTTTAATCTCAACAGGAGGATATGTCTGTGACCCTCCCTAGGCCTGTGCTCGTGGGCTGGGCTTGGGGGCAGCATTCAGCTCCTCAGCATGTCTTGGCTCGAGGCAGGAAGAAACCCAAGCAACAGCAGGGCTAAGAGATCCCCGAGGCCTGGGGCAGAGACAAAGCAGACTACTGGCTCTTCCCTGTTCCTTCTCTCGTAATGCCAGCAGCAGTTAAGGGAAACCGCCATTGAGCCCATTGCTCTTGTCAGAAACCAGGCTGCATTGACGATGTCTTGATCCCTTCCCGTCAAGCAGCCTCCCAGTCCTGTCAGTGCTAGCTCCCAAATATTTCTTGGCCCCCACTCTTCCCACTGCACTTCATCTAAGGCACCATCATCTCTCACTGGGACTGCTGAGTCGGCCTCCCCTCCTCATAGGCTCTCCCCTGCAAATCCATCCATTCTCCTCTCAACAGGCTGGGACTCCTGGGAAAATCCATCACCCTGTCTCACCTCCAGGCCTAAAAGGGTCATTAAATACATTGCAGTTAGAATAGAATCTAAAACTCTGCTGCTGCTACCGAAGCCTATGCAGCTTCATCTTCAGAGAGGCCTGTCTGGCCTTCCTGTCTAAAAGAAGTTCTCTTGTTGTTCCCCCAGGAGCCTTAGTGGGTTACAAGTAGGACTGCTAACTGCAAGGTCAGCAGTTCAAATCCACCATCTGATCTTTGAGAGAAAGATGAGACTTTCTGTTTCCTAAAAGGGTTGCGGTCTGGGAACTGTCCCCCAGGAGACAGTTCTACCCTGGACAGCACGGTTGCTATGGGTCACAATGGACTCAAGGGCAGTGAGTTGGGTTTTTTGGATTTTGTTGTTCTTCTAGTGTTGTGGTTTGTTGTTGTTTTGTTTTTTCCTTCACAACACTTTTCACAATTCTGGTTGTGTGTTTGGGGGTTATTTATTGACTATGATCCCACCAGACCCAGATCCACGAGGGCAGGATCCTGTTTATTAGTCAACCATTGTATAGTTGTTGGGCAGGGGGTGGGGGGTGGGTGGACTGGTCACCCAGATATTGTCAGAATGAATGGAGACATGAGTAAGAGCCTGAAGAACCTGACCAGACCAGAATGTGGTCCTTATGGAGGTCCCCTGGACTTTTCACCAAAAGGACAAGAGGCGCCATTCCTTGATGGTGCCACTCACCCCACTGACTCCTGGGTGAGCTTCATGCATTCAGCACCCTGCCCACTGGAATCCTACCTGCCCATATGCTGGAGGGAGCCTGCGCCGTGTTCATGAGCTTGAAACGGCCTTTTCCACTCCAACAGCAAAGAAGCCAGTGAACCTCTACGCGGTCCATGATGGCGCTGTCCACACGATTCAGAGGTCGCCATTTTACAAGGACATTGTCCTGACCGTTGGAGGCTGGAATGTCGCTCTCTGGAAAGAAGGTGTCCTGGTAAGTTGCATGGAAAATGTTTGAGTGGGTGGGTGGCCCTTTGTTAGTGAGAAAGACAAGGGAACAACAGACTGTTCTGACATCACAACGCCTTTGGGTTGTGTAGACAAATTAGAACAGATGGCGAGCGTCAGCAGAACCACTGTGAACCTGTTGAAAGCCACCTGTTGCTTTTCACGCCCCAGGGAATGAAGCAGCATTTACAAGTCCCTTGTTCTCTGGAAATGTATCATCTTTCCCTTGAAATCTAGATCGGGACCAGTACCTTGCTTTGTGAAGTTGGGATGCTGATGACTGTGTAAATCCATGGAGAAATTTAGGTCTGGTATTTTTTTTGGGGGGGGGGTAGGGGGGTGGCCTGCACCTGAAGTATGTTGGCACAGTCAGAAAGAGGCAGTAGGTAGATCATGGCCCACCCGGAGACGCACGTGAGCCAGAGGCGGTGAGTGGCAGGACTGGCGGCCAGGATTAGGACAGGGGCTAGATCTGGACAGAGACGCTCAATAGACAAACAGTCCTAACAACAAAAATGCTAGGTTTACTGATAAATACCGATTTTGTTGGGAGCTTAAAATGATACATCCCTTTGGTGGACAATTTGACAAGATTATCAAACTCTGAAAGATGTATGTACAAGGGTGTACCTCCCCCCCTCCAAAAAAAAAAACAAACGGAAAAAAGCTCCACTGGGCGGAGCTTTCATAGTACCCATCCCCATGCCCCCCCCCACCCCCCTGCATCAAGCAACTTGCTCCGAGTTAGTGCACCCAGGGCGTCGCCTGGGAGGGTTCTCTCTGGTCACAGTGAATTTTTTCATAAAAGCAGTTTCACTTGAACCTTGTTTTATGTGAGGGTCTATTTAAGAGAACAGCGTGTGGCTTTGACATTTTGTTTCCGGCTTGGGGGGGTGGGGGATGCCACAGAAACGGTTGTGATGTTGAACACAGCTTACACGGACAACACTTTGGGAAAACTCAAGTGTACGAGTGGTTTTCTCATTTCAAAAAAGGTGAAATGTCAATTGAAGACAAACCTTGTTTTGGAGGTCTGTCAACGTCCCAAAATTTAGTCCCTGCAGGTGTAAGTCAGTAAACAAGTGCACCTGGTTGCCAGATGGTGCATGACAATGGGAAGACAGTACTCTCTGATCCTCTTTCTCTGGAAAACCGCCCAAGAATGCAAAGGCCCCAGGGTAGAGAAGACAGGATGCTCTCAGGAGGCTTTGGTGGCCCTTCCAAGCACTAGTCACGGCCAATGGAGACTCCCCTCTGAAGTCATTTAACTGACTTTTGCTAGCTCTGTCGTTGATTTTCAACATGCAGCCCACAGCTGGAACTGACCGTTTGGGTTTGCTTTTCCTGGCGACCAGAGCTGTTTACATGGGAAGCAGACATCTGACAGCAAAATGACGGTCTACTCTACAGTGATAAGTTCCTTATGAATTTTACTTATCCAGTGTCAATCCGTCTCCATAGAAATGACAGTGAACATTAGCAGTGGTGGAATCATTAGAACTACCACCGCTAAGTACCAAGGTTTGGGCTTTTCTAACAAGTCACTATCGAGGCAGGGGCAGTGGGGTGGGGGCTAGAATTGAGACCTATCTGTGTGAAAAGCACACGGGAAAGAGCTGGCATGATGAGGGCTTCCAAAAGTTTGTGGCAAGATTCCATTCTCTCTTAATGTTGTTTTCCCACACACTTTTGAAGTTCCCTTGTAAAAAAATCATTAAAAAGTAAGGCCCCGAGTGGGCACATTTTAGCTTTTATATGGTCCTAGCTAAGGTGACCAGATTTTAACATTGGTAAAGCGGGACACCATTGATAAAACTCATATCCTGGCGAAATAGCCACATGGCAGCCGAAAACCGTATACCCTAGCTTGTCGTGCATTCTTTCCAAAAATCGAGACTTTTTAAAAAACGCCACGGGATGCGGGGAAAAAAATTTAAAAATTGGGACTGTCCTGCCAAAAGCGGAATGTCTGGTCACCTTATCCTAGCCACCTGTCTTAAAGATGAGCGCTTAGAGAACACGGTTTAGACTCAGGACTATAAAGCAATGTGAATTCTCCTCAGAGGGTAACAAAAGCTTGGAATTTGCCTTAAAAAAATTTTTTTTTTCCTCAAGATTGGACCCCTACTTCAAACATGCTGTACACCAAAAAGGTATACCTCGGGGCACTGGTCCCTGACGCGGCCTGGAGTTTTCTATATTGGCCGAGAAGATGGGTACATTGATATCTGGGACCTTCTGGAGAAAACCCATGAACCAGCTCAGTCACAAAACATCTGCATAACGATGATCACCTACATCAAGCCTTGGGCCTTTTCGGGTATGCTGCGAGCTAACTCGCTGGGGGCTTTGGTGGGGGTGGGGGTGTGACTTGGGAACCTTTGCCTTTCATCTGGAAAGTTTCTAATACGCCCTCCCTTTCTTTTTCTTTTTCCTTCTCTCCCTTCCCTCTCACTCTGGAATCTCGGCCACAAGCTGAGCCTCTCTCCCAGCTTTGCTTTTCTGGAAGACGTTTTGCATATCCAACAGATGCTGCTTTTGAAGCACCCAGTGGAAAGCCCCCTCCTCACCTTGTCCAGCTCACCCAGGCTGACCCCTAAATCTTTGCTACCCTTTACAGCTTCTTTTCCAGGCAGAATAGTTTTTTTTCTCCTTTTAACTTGTCATGAAGACTCATATTTTACAATATTTTATTATTCTGGGGGTTCTCTTTGGATGATAGCAGGCAGTCGTTTTCACAAATGTGGGTGATTCTCTGAGGATATACATCTATCTTTTAAAACTAAGTCACCGGGGGAAAAGTCACCTACAGCAAACCATGCAGGAATTCAAGGTGTCATTTCCTCCGCCCCAGTCTTCTGTGTCGCCCGCGTCTGCTGTCGGCGGAGATCAGTACCGTTGCCTGTTCTCAAGAAGAGCAGTTTTCCCGGCACAAAGAAGGCACCCCAATGTCTTCTTCCACCTCTCACCCAGAAACGGTCTGTTTGGAAGCTGAGTCTTCAGACCCCTACTGCGGAATCAGTGCCACCAAGGCAGGGTCTCTCATCTTTGACACACACACCACTGTTGTGCTGCAAGCCCACAGGGGCTAACAGCCCAGGTTGTCGCCATTGAACCAGATGTTCTACAAGTGACAACACACACGCTTCACAAACACACAGTGAGATATAACATTTAAATTCCCAAACTCATTTCTTTTATGCCCATTTTAAAATGCTCACAGCATGCACTCGTTTCTTTCGATAGGAAAACTGAGGGTCTTCTTGTGCCTTTCAAAGTCACGTGGGGACTTACTGTGTGTTTGGGGTAAAACGTGCTTCATGGCTTTGCTGTGCGAGGCTTCCGTGTGTTTCCCTGGGTCCATGTCCACTCTCCTCGGTGGGTCTAACCACAGACAGGGTCTGCCCCACCCGGGGGCCACACTTCTAGCACAGACGCCAAGAAAGAACTTTGAAGAGGCTGGGTGGCCTCCGCTTTCATTCTGCCAGCTAGGGGAAAACCTGCCTTTCCCGTGTCATTTTTGCCTGTTACGATCATCTAACGATGATGCCAAGATTTTGTAACCACAGCAGGCCCGCTGAGAGACCACGAGGCAAGAACACATTTTATGGCGAGCCTCTAAGCTGGGTTTCTGTTTGCTGACTGTTGTCCTGCTTTTTTCATCTTTCAGCTAAGCAGCAGTTTGTAGCTATAGCTGATTATTATGGGACACTGCATATACTAGAAGTTCCTTGGTCATTAAGTCACCCTTCCACCAATGAGGTGAGTGAGCTTTTGTCTTTGAGGATTCTTGTTCACCAGATATTGCCGAGGCATATTTGTCAAGTGTACTCAGAAATGACATCATTTCTGCTCTGGTTGGAAACAGAAGGACCACCTGGTTAATCACCAGGTCATAGGTGAATATACCTGTCATGGGTTAAGTGGTTAGAAGCTGGAAAAATATACATAGGAGACGGAAGTAAAGTAAAGTAATAGAAGCCGGCCTAAGAAAAGAACTGACTTGGAGATTCATAACCATAAACGATTATTCGCAGGTGGACCAAAGCATAGAACCCTTATTTCAACCCAGCCCTTGCCTGAAGGCTCAGTGGAGTTTGCATGCAGCTCTCCATCACAACGGTCACCTCCTCCACTGCGGGTACTTCAGGCAGGGCCTCTTTACAGGCAACATGCTGCCCCGCTGTAACCTTAATCATAAGGTTGTTAAAAGAAGGTCAATGAGTAGAAATATCTATCACCTACACTCACTCACTGCCATGGAATCGCTGCGTAGGCCCGGGTACAACTGCCCCTGTGAGTTTCTGAGACCTGCTGACCTCGGGGAATGCAGCTCAGCTCATAACCACTACACCACCAGGGCTCCTAGAAATATAAATAAATCTATATGACGAGGCTGCAAAAAGCTTAGGGAAAAGTTCCACTATCTTTTAATTCCACTTTCCCATGAACTTTTTGCCAACCCTTTATCATATGTTTATGTTGTATAAATACATGTATATTTAATATATGGCCATTTAAAACATATAGGTTGCAATCTGTTGCAAGTTCCAACAGAGCTTCCAGAGGGTTTCTGGAAGGCAAAGCAGTCTCTTTCCACTGCTTGCTCCCCCAGGTTCTCGGTTGCCTTGCCTGCTTCTAATCCTCATGCCCACACAGGATGCCCTCCACGGATGCAGAACTTTCCCTCTGGATCCAGTCCCTCGGGGTCCACGTTGATACCCTCATCTGGGTTGTCACAGTTTCGTTGATGACAGGAAATGCCCCTAGCATAGGAAAAGAAGGAATAACTGGGGAAAGAAATCTGATCATTTTTCTGTAAAGTTACAATTCTTGGTTCCCTTCTAGATACCAACTCCACTCTCTTCCTAGAAAACTCCAATCACAGGCTCTAAAACCTTAGCACCCAAACGAACAAACAAACAAAAACAAAAATGCATGGCTCTCAAGTCCCTTAGCATCAGCGTGACCTCCTGGGGCTGCCAAGGAAGCCGACAGGACAGTGTCTTTCTCCCGAGAATGAGAGGGTGTGTTTGAACCACCAACCTCACAGATGGCAGCCTCCAGGGCACCTTCACACAGAAGCCTGCACAATCTGCGGACAGTGGAGACCTGGGCCCATGAATCCTGCCCCTCCCCAATACCTGAGGCTGTATGACAGCCTCAACATCAGTACCATGCTTATATTCAAAAACTACCAGCAAACATTTCTGAGGGTAAAAATTGGGCTTTCTCCTGGAACATATCCTGGTTTTCCCAGGGCGTAGGCTATGTGCTCAGAACATGTTTGTTGAACAGCTGTGACAAAGCACGCGGAGTCCAGGGCCTGTTTGCCCTCACAATTACACTTTGGAGTAAATTTCAGAGCAGTGACAACTTTGGAGGCTTTCTTGCTTGCCCAGCATTGTCAAGAAACAGTCAGATATCCCCGCAGATACTGAGCGAGCGAGGGGAGGGGATTGGGAAGCCACACTGGCAGCCACAGATCTGCAAAGGCAAACTCTCCCAGGCTGAGGCAGACGATGCAAAGTGAACCATTTCCCAATGACACTCCCTCCAAAGACGACAGCTATCCCCAAACAAGGACTCCACCCACAAGCAGCAGGAATCCCAGGCCAGCTTGCTAAGAGACAGGGGGCTCACCAGGGCCTTTGTTCCGGACAGGTAACGAGTGTCAGCCACTACTTTGAACGGGAAGTCAAGCACCTGGAATACAGGGAGCAGCGCAAGAAAATCCGCGAGCAGGAAAAGATGGAATTGGACCTGGACATGGAGGAGAAGAAGAAAACGGTCAGTTAAATTCAGAAATGCAAGTTGCTTTCTAAGGCCAAGGGTTGTGTGTTTGGTTGTCAAGGGAAGTAGTGTCTTTTCATTGCCTTCCCTCCGGCTCCTGAGAGCTGAGAGGGCATTGTCCCTCGCTGTCCCAGCCCACGCTTGTAAGACCTGCCAAGAGGTCACCTACAGGCTTCAGGCAATTCCGTGTCCGGAATTCGAACCCTTTAGTATAGAGTCAATGATGACACATTTGAATGCTTTCTTATTTTAATATCCGGTGAATGATGTATTCAACTAGATAGTACAAAAAAGAATGGACTAGAGAGTCAAGACAGGTGGGCTCAAATCCCCACTGACCAGCTATCAGATCTGGAGCAAGGCTCTGATCCTTGCTGAGCTTCTGTTCTCTGTTCAACTGCGAGTTACAAGGTCAGCACTTCAAACTCACCAGGCGCTCCATGGCGGGAAAGATGAGGCTTTCTGCTCCTGAAAGACTTCTGACCTTGGAAACCCAGCCAGGCTGTTCTCTCTGCCCTGTGGGGGTGCTCTGGGTAAGAATCACTCCACGGCAGCGGTTTGAGTACCTTCTCTAGAGTTACCTACACGGACAGATTTCCATCAAATGGCAGCTAAATGTGTGAGCTTTCCTGTAACAGAGTATCCTGGCTCTCTGAAATTTGAGAGAGGGGTGAATTTGTATAGGATACATCTCTCTGAAACTCGGAGCACTGATGGCACAATGCTCAAGCGCCCAACTGCCAAGCAAAAGCTTGGTGGTTGGAAAATGCCAGAAGCTGTGAAGGCGGAAGGGCCTGGGGGTCTGCTGCCATCAGGCTTTCAGCCTATGAAACGCTAAGAGGCAGCTCTACAGTGACCTAGACCGTGGTTGTAAGTCGGATCCACGCAATGGCACACAACAATCTCAGATGCTCCGTCAAAGAAACCTGATGCCCTGATGCTCCCCTGCCCTGCTTCTCAGTCTCTTTCTCTTTGGTAGGAACTGTCACCATCGCCCTCCCCTGAATTACCTGGAATTTGGGGCCTGTAAACACTCTGAATTCTTCCCTCCTTTCACCAGTCCATATTTCGACTTCTCTCCCTTTTGTTTATCTGGATCTGTTGCTCATTCCCTCCCTGGCGCTTTCTTCTCCAGCAGTTTTATTCTCTCACTGGGATAGTTGGATCCTATCTCTGGTTTCCTTATAGCCAAGTCTCTGGCATCCTCCAGCATTCAGGAAGGGGGTTCTCAATGAAAGCAGCCTCATGTGAAAAGACCTGTCTGTGCTGGGCCAGCCAGCATTGACCTTGATAGAGAGATGCTCCTTGGTGTCATCAAGGCAGCGGCCTCGTTTCCACAGAACTGTCTCGTGATGGCACAGGGTAAAAGAATGCTGACTAGGCAGCGCTCGTTTGTCTTCTCCTGCTCCACACCAGCCGGGCTTGGTTCGTTCTTTTGCACACTCATAAACTTTGGTTGAAATTCTGTTGTAAGGGATAATATGCCATCCTTCCCTGACTCCAGCAATTATCCACAGAAAAGATACCAAACTCATTGCCATCGAGTCAATTCCGACTGATAGCAAGCCTATCGCACAGGGTGGGACTGCCCTCGTGGGCGGTGCATCTTTATGGGAGCAGAAAGCCTCCGCTTTCCCTGAGGGGCACTGGGGCTGTCACACTGCTGGTCCGGCGGCTGGCAGCCCAGCTCAGACCCAGGACACCACCAGGCTCCTCCTCCACCATTAGTCTGAGTCCTTCAATATCAGGCTGACAACGCCAGACGAGCTCTGGCCGTGGGAACAAGTAGAATTGTAGATAACCCCAAATTAATTTGCCTATGAAAGGCCTTTGACCATCCCTCCCAATAGCATAATACCGTATCACATTTTCTTGGGTCCGAAATTTTCCTTTTAGTAACTTCATTTCCATGTGACTGGGTAGCCTCCCTCTTCTAAGCAGAGCTACACTTGTTAAAACTTGGATCTACGGATGAGCTGAAGGGGCTCCTCTACTCGACTCTGCTGTGAAGGACAAGCAACGAGTGTAGCGAGAAATGTTTCCTCAGAGGCCCGGCTCGGGGACAGGACTGCAGCATCCTCAGAGGATGCTGTGAGGGTGACAGTTGTTCAGATTTGGCCAGTACGAGTGGTGTGACCACAGTTACGGCTGCTAACAGGAAGACTGGTAGTGTGAACACGTCCGAGGCTCCATGTCGGGTGGCCTCCTGGTCTGCTTCCAGAAAGACGGCAGCCTGGACACCCGTGGGTCCCTGAAGATGGAAGCCTGGACCCCCATGGGTCCCTGTGAGAGTAGTTGGCACTGAGCTAATGCTAGTAAGTGTTCACTGTTAAGGGGTACCACAGGGGGCAGAGGGAGACCACATATGGGTCCTTCAAGGCTAGATGTTCGGAGCGCTCCCCAGTCCCAGGCATTGGGTTGCACACTTCAACCAAAAGATCCAGGGAAACCACACACCTGCCTCTGGGCAAACATCAAGACTGATAAAACTCATTCCTTAAAGGGTAATGGTAATTCCAACTCTAAACAGCATATGGAATGGGAATTTCCCTCACTGGAATTTCAGCTGAAGACCCAAGGGTGGGGAAAGTAGTTGTTGTCGCATAATCCCACAAGCTACACCATCTATAAAGAATTTCAAAGAGGACGTGGAGTTCAAAAGAATTTTCTATCCTCTAGTCAGTCCCCCAGCCTCCAGGCAACATAAGGGAGGCAAGAGTTACAGGAAAGACAACTAGAAGCGGTTTGTTTTTCGTTTTTAATTTTGAAAGCCAGGTGTCAAAGGGCCACTCCCTTTGTCCCAGTACATCAGACTTGTCAGGAGCTTTTTGGAAGGACCAGAGCCAGAGAAAGGTGTGGCTGGGCCAGGATGAGCAGTGGCCTCTTGCAAGAGGCTTGCTGAGCATCAGAAAGCCTCCATTCCTAATACCTAAAAGCAACAGGGCTTGCGGCAGCAAGACAGCGGATTCAAAGGCATGAAGCCAGAGACGCAGTGAGGACAACACTGACGGGGCAGACACAGATCAGGACATGAATCCCCCAGAGTCCCAGTTTGTCCACCCCTGCAGGAACCCTCACCCGCAGCCAGGCGGGCCCGCCCGCACCAGTGGAGGAAGCCGGGCGGGCAGGTGGTCTGCTCAAGTAAAACCAAACGAGGTGCGGTGGCCTCACTGCAGAGGAGAGCTATGCCGTGGGGGTAGTCTTCTGAGTAGTCAGCTTGTCTTCTGAGATTCCACTGGGAGGGGGAGGGGAGGGGGGTAGTTCAAGACATCAACTTTAATTCTGTAGTAAGCGTTCGGCTGTTTGCACCAGCCCCGGACTCTTGGATGGCATAGCTGTTCCCTGCTCCCGCTGCCCTGTCAGCGTGCAGCCCGGCCCTCGCACACCGGCAGCCGGAGCACTCCCCTCTCCTTTGGGCCAGGAGTTGAAAGCCATCCTTGGTGCCTCCCTTTCCCGAGCCCCGCCTCTTCCGACCTTATGCAAACGCTGGCTGGCTGCGGGCGACGGACAGGATCCGAGCACACAGGTCCGCTGGGCCTGCAGCCAGAGGGGTGCCCCGGTCCTCCCGGGAGCTCCGGCCAAAAACAGCAGCGCGGGCCCCTCTCGTCGGCCTGTGATCATTTCCGTTGTTCTGTCCTGGAGTTATAGCTGTGTCTTGCGTTTTCTCCCCCAGAAAACATACCAGAAATCAAAAGAACAAATAGAGGCCGAATTGAAGCTGGACTTCGAAAGCTATTTGGAACTGGAAAAGGCCACCCTCATCAACCTGGGGCTATTGAGAGCCTCAGAGCAGATGTCCTACATTAATATGTAGGAAATCATTCTGCAGGGGGATTGGGGGAGCCTTCTTCCTCCTCCCCCTCTTCCTCCTCCTCCCCCCCCCTCCTCCTTCTCCCCTTCCTCCTCCTCCTCCTCCTCCTTTTGGAACTGGCAAACTAGAAGTAAATAGGTATAGGTAAAAATTAAACTATAGGCTTTCATTGATATTAAAACTTTTGAATTGTAACATTAAGATCTGTTTCAATTTTTTTGGTGCTGGGTATTATAGTAGACTGAA